AGCCCCAGGGCGCAGGGGGTTTTTTTCGGGGGGGGGGTGTTACAAATGTGCGCTGCAAGGGTGTGAATGCACCCCCATAGCGCCCCAAGTCAGTGGGGAAACCAGCCCCGGCCTTCTGCATGGTCAGCCAGAGCATGCTTACTTGGGGGGTCCTGGCAGGGCGGGGGATGCTTTCACACCCCCAGGTAAGGAATATTCAGGTAGGCGAGATTATCTCAAGCTGGCAGCACCTGGCGAAGCGACCGGTCGCCGCTGCAAGGGTGTGAATGCACCCCCATAGCGCCCCAAGTCAGTGGGGAAACCAGCCCCGGCCTTCTGCATGGTCAGCCAGAGCATGCTTACTTGGGGGGTCCTGGCAGGGCGGGGGATGCTTTCACACCCCCAGGTAAGGAATATTCAGGTAGGCGAGATTATCTCAAGCTGGCAGCACCTGGCGAAGCGACCGGTCGCGTCCTTACAGAAATAGGGGAAGCAGTTTTGGAACCATTAGCCATTCGGTGTAAGAATTCAGGGAGGGTGCAGAAAACAAGGGGAAGCCAAACACAATACGGGGACAAAGAGGTTCTGGGGAATTACAGACCAGCCGGTATCAGGAGAGGGGGGAAAAAAAGACACGTGACCCAAATGACAGTCAATCAGACTGAAGCCCCTAGACCAGGGCTACTCAACTTTGGAAGCCCCGGGGGCCACAATAATACAACACATGCCAAGGGCCACAGCTTAAGAGTGGTTACATCTACATGCAAATATATGCAAATAGCTCCTTTTGCACTGATGGGCATGAAAAACAAAGATTAAGCCCCAGCACCGAACCTAAATGTGGGTTGTGTAAGCCAGTCAGCACCTCTCAGGTTCTGCCCACAAGGCTAAGCAACCAGCACTTCCCACAATGCCTCAGTGCTCCTGGCACCTCCTCCCTAGGGTCTAGAAACGCCAATACCCTGTACCCATCTATTGCAGTGAGCCCGTCCGCTTGCATCTTTAAATGCTCACCCACCTGGGAGATGCCTCTCCGTTGTGGAGCATGTTTCTAGAGGAGGCCATGTTCAACGGGGAGATGCCTCTCCGTTGTGGAGCGTGTTTCCAGAGGAGGCCATGTTCAACGATTCCCACCCATGGGCCACATGGTGAGCCTTGTGTAAATCCAAACTGCATCACGGGCTACAAACAGGCCGCATGTTGAGTGACTCTGCCGTAGACGATAATAGGGTTATAAGGAATAATCAACATGGATTTATCAAGAACAAATCATGACAAACAACCTTATTTCTTTAACAAGATGACTGTCCTTGTGGATGGGGGCGGGGATACTGGCGTTGTAATATAGCCTCATTGTAGTAAAGCTTTTGATAGTCACACGTGCTAAGCAAAAACAAAGGCGACGTGGTCTAGATGACAGTAAGGCGGGTGCACAGAAGGTTGAAAGACCCGACTTAAAGAGTAAGTGGATCAGTCATGCACCGTTAAACTGGGAGAACGTATCCTGGGTCTGGTTCTGGTCAATATTTGCATCCGTAGCTTATCTATTGGAGTGGAGAGGATGCTTACATTTGTGAATGACACCAGTCTGGGAGGAGTTGCGAACACTTTGGATTAGAATTCAAAACCATCTTGACAAACTGGAGAATTGGGTTGATATTAAGATGAAATTCAGTAAGGACAAATGCTTAGGAAGTACTGCGCTTAGGAAGAAAAAAATCAAATGCACAACTACAAAACGGGGAATAACTGCATTTGGGTTTATAATCTGGGGATCATAAATTGAGAATTAACAGTTTAATGCAGTTGGGAAAAAGACATTCTGTGGTGTGTTAACAGATGTACGTAAGACACTGGACGTAACTGGCCTGCTGTACTTGGCACTGGGGAGGTCTCAGCTGGACTACTTGGCAAGAGCAACAAAAATTATAAAAGGTTTATTAAACCTTACCAGAGAAGAGAAGATTAAAAAAGGGCATGTTTAGTCTTGAGGAAAGACGACTGCCGAGGAAATTATTTCAAAATAACTAAATTCGAAAAACTACTCCCAAAATAACTGCTTTGAAATAAGCTTATTCCCCGAGGAAGACAGGAGTACAGATTTCAAAATAACCAGACTGTTATTTCAAAATAGCAGGCTTGGTAGCATGGATGCTCTGCTTATTATTTCAAAATAAGGGGGGGGGGGTATTTCAAAATAACTCCCTAATGTAGATCCAGGCATAAAGAGGACAGGAATCAATTGTTCTCCTACTGAAGTTAGGATAAGAAGTAATGGGCTTCATCTGCAGCAAGGAAGACTTTGGTTAGTTTTTAGGAAAAATCTTCCAAATTATAAGGCTAGGTAAGCACCAGAATATACGTCCAAATGAGGTCTATTGGAAAGTCTATTGTTGGAAATTTGTTAACAGGTTAGACAAACATCTGTCTAGCTTTACTTGGTTCTACCTAAGCGCAGAGGGCTGGAGTAGATGACCTCTCAAGGTTTCTTCGAGCCTGACATTTCTAGGATTTCATGGGATGTAGCTCTCAACAAACAGGCCCAGCACTAATTTTTATAATGTAAGGAAAATGTCAGGCAACTTTATATTAAACGTTGTTTCCAACCCCCCTATAATTTAATATAATTCTGCTCTCTCCTGAAGAGCAGCTTCCAAGCTAATACAGCCGAATATAAATATAGAGCTCCGTAAACTACAATTTCCATATAATATCAGGAGCGGCCTGAGGCGGGCTGCAGCAGCTGGCGCCCCCGCCTGCACGGCCGTCAATGGAGGGAAGTCATCATCGGGCGCCCCGTGACATCATCATCGGGCGCCCCGTTGAAGGCAGCGCCCTAGGCAACGGCCGAGTCGGCCTATAGTCACATGCCACCCCTGTATAATATACCTGGTGGTATCCTAGAAACATTGCACTAGAAACCTCCAGCATTAATCCTCCACCTTTGTTTTGTTTTTCCCCCTAAAAAAACTAACCTCCCATAATCTCAGAATAATCAAACAGCACACTGAGTAATAGTCTGAGCATTTTTTGTTAACATCAGCAATAAAGACCCACAAAATATATGAAATGAATAAAATACATGATTCAGCATGCACTGCAAAATTATATGAAAGATGGAACAGATCCACTAGATCTCAGATTACCAACTTAATAAAAAGGAATTTTTAAAAACCCAACAAAATGTGGAAACAAAACATGAAAACAGAAACCTGATAACAGTAGACTTTGTTAGCTTCTTCTGTTTTCTGCTTTTTCCCCCTCCCTGTGTCATGGCATGTCGTCTAACCTAGATTGTAAACTCCTCTGGGGAAGGAGGGCATCTTTTATTTGCATGCAAAGTGCCTGTACCACATATGCCTACAATGCTGTTAGATAAAAATGTAGTCCACTCCTCCTGTACTGACAGGATGGACGTCCCCAACAGGTGGTATTAAGTAAACATTAAGATGATCCTGCTGTACATGAACATATATAGCCAGTCACAGCATTAAGTGTTAACCAATGATTTTCTCTCTATGGTCTTTATTTGTAAGTGAATACTATTGTATATATCAAAATAGGAAAATCACACTTCAACTGCACTGAACTTTAATTGCAAAACTGCGTCCTTTGTTGATACAGGCAGTTGCATTCAGAATTTCTAATCCCCACCCCAATCCCATTAGCTACTTATCAGATTTTTCAGGATTTTAATACATTTTCCATTGCTACCATTATTGATAGTGCAATATTTTTCTTAGTAGTCAACACAGCAAAGTCTCTCTCATACAGATAGCTTGCTAAGAAAGATATTTTCTTGCTCCTGTTTAGAGCTCTTAATTTTATAAATACTAATCATCATCCTTCAAAAGGGGAGATGGTAGCAACAAAAGATGTTTGATCCTCTCACAGTGGTATTTATCTCCGTAAAGCTTGCATGGGTTACAATTCGTATGAAGGATACTTAAAAATAAGGCCTTGATCCTGCAGATATTTGAGCAGGTGTGTAAATTTATGCATATGCATACCAGTGTCATGAACTCCAATGGGACTACTTGTAGTCCATAAAGCAAAGCATATAATAGAATCATAGAATACTAGGACTGGAAGGGACCTCGAGAGGTCATCGAGTCCAGTCCCCTGCCCTCATGGCAGGACCAAATACTGTCTAGACCATCCCTGATACACATTTATCTAACCTGCTCTTAAATATCTCCACAGATGGGGATTCCGCAACCTCCCTGGGCAATTTATTCCAGTGTTTGACCACCCTGACAGTTAGGAACTTTTTCCTAATGTCCAACCTAAACCTCCCTTGCTGCAGTTTAAGCCCATTGCTTCTTGTTCTATCCCCAGAGGCCAAGATGAACAAGTTTTCTCAGATACCTGAAAACTGCTATCATGTCCCCCCTCAA